TGATAAAAAGCACAGGCTAAATGTTGAGATATACATTATAGTCACTAAATTTACTTTTTAACAGCTTACAACAAGCTGCTGCAAGTAATCAGTTCTAATAAGGAAAAGGACTGGCTGAAGAGAAAATTCTGATTTAATCAGACAAAAATGTTAAGCCAATGACTACAGCATATAGGTGGCTACCAATCATGTAGCTTCATTTGATATAAAGAGATTCCATTTCTTTGCTGTATGAAAAATTTAATAAAATCACTCCCATCCCTGTTACATTTATTTAGTTAAGCTTGCTTTATGAAAAATAAAAATAAATAAAAAGTATTAAGAAAAAATATTTTGAAAATTTAAAAAATATGCATTTAGTTAAATAGTGAATTTTATAACCCTAACCAAATTTAATAAAATTTTCAATGTAGGATTCAAACCTGTGAATTTTATAAATTACAAATGCTTAACAAATAAAGATATTGTAGATATATATATATATCCTCCACTTGTGCATCTTGACTCCTCTTCTTTTATTGTTCTCACTATAAAAATACTATTTTATATTACTGTTAAGTCTTTAGTGTAATAAATAAATGTTTAATTATCTAGGGGTATATTGTGCATATTCTTTTGCAAAGTGTATTTTAAGGCCACACGGTTTGTGTAAAAATATTGTTACATATGTATATTTTTCTAGGCTCAGCAGTTAAAAACTGTCAAAATTGTTAAGAATCCATTTCAACTTCATGGAAAATTATTTTTTTCATATATACTGACCAATGAAAGATGTGGTCTTAAACCCTGGTAAGAACCCAAATTGGGGGGGGTGACTGGCTTGTGTGCTCCTCTTTTTCTGAATAAAAGGGCTCAAGTTAGTAGATAATCCAGAAGGCATTTGACTTTAAAAAGAGGGCAACAAAGAGGTACAGGGTAACAAGCCAGCTGCAGAGAGACCAAAAGAATTTTGAAGATGAGTGAAAATTCTCCTGCGGTCAGACAATGGAAAAAGAATTCAAAAAAAATTTACTCAAAAGCCTCAGTGAAACACAAACAGTGTGAATCTAAAAAAAAAAAAAAAAAGACATTTCCAATATTTTTATATATCCCAGAAACATTTTGGGGGACAAGTAGGTTTTTTTTTTTCTAAAAAGGTGATTGCGCCTTTGTTTTACCGCCATCTTGCTTTCTCTGTCATCATTTTTTAAATTGAATCCTCTCTTTCTAAACTAGCATTTTTTTTTTTTTAAATATATCTGTAAATGTTATTCTGCCTTAATTATTTAGAAGGCACACAAAAGGAAATTTTTGTGCAAAAGTCTAATATGGAAATTTTTGTATTTTCCCCCCTTTTCTGTATATTGTAATAAATGTTTGTCCTTTAAAATTTAATACAGTGGTCGAGTCTTGTTTGTTAATTCTGCCTTGTACAACTGTCTACTAACTAGGTTTTGTGTTTGGCACAAGAATTTAGATTTGGTTAGGAGTTAAGATTTTTATATCACTCCTTTTTTCTTTTTCTTTCAAACTTAGTAATCCCTTGTGTCTTAATGGCTTTATTGTGTTGCTTGGGGGTGAAATGATAAAAAAATACAAAAGGAACAACTGTGTAAAGTCAGCCATAGTTTTTATAAAAGTGATCATTATTATTGGTTGGTACGAGTGCTTAAGCATGTTCAGAGAAATAAAACTGAGTGTGTTAATGAATTTTTGGCACTTGCTTTCATTAAAGGTTTTGGCTGGCCTATTCTCCAGCCTTATTTGATTATCATCCAGCAGTGTATTAATCGACTATTCTTGGTTTATAACCCTGTCTGGTGTCATAGGTTTATGCCCTATTTGTACAGGCATTTTTCTGCTCAGTGTTGCCAAAAGCATGATTTAATATGGCATGAGTTCTCTGCCCAATTTGCTAGTTGAGCTTTTTTGATGTTCTCATGTATCCTCACTCACAGGGATTCCTGTTTAGTAAGAGGAGAGGCAGTGCTTGATTTCTTCCTTTTAAGTCATTCTTAATTTCATGGCCTCTCCATGTGATTATGACAGATATGAAACCTTTCATGATTTAAAATTTGATATCTATATAAAATTGCTTAAACTGTGTCTATTTATGTTTTAGTTCAAGGACCCCCCCCCCACCAACACACATAGTAAATTCCTCCTTCCTCATGTTCTTAAGTTTCATTAGTATGTTACTTTTAGCTCAGTAAAGCTGACAATACTATTAATAATTAAAGAAACATTTTTCCACTGCTCTAAGAGTTTATTTTAAAGATATATATTGATTAATTGATTCCTTTTCTACAGTTTATGAAACACTTTACAGAAAATATTTTTAATTGTGAGAATTTTTTTTTTGTTGGAGATAATGGTTTAGTGATACAAGTCTTACTAATTAATCCATAGCTGGGGAGATAAGAGGAAAATGTATATATTTCTCAAGGGTATTTGCATGTAACTGAATATAACAAACTTAATGGGATTTGGAACTCGGTTCTCTAATTAACAATTCCAAACTTAGATTGTAAGAAATTTTTGAAGATAATGATTTAGTGATATAAGACTTACTAATTTACCCATAGCTGGGAGGAGGAGAAATGGAATCATACTTTTACCAATTTTGCAGGTAAATGAATATAACAAACCAGACTGGAATTGGAACTCAGTTCTCCAATTAACAATTCAGAGTCATTATCCATTATATCACCAACATATTCAAGTTTACAGCCTGTTATTCCTAAGTGGTCACCCATCCAGATACTGACCAGGCTCAACATTGCTTAAATGTTGGTGATCATACAGGAACTGGTATATTTCAAAGATAGAAATTATAGCAATTATTCAACTTGGTAACACAAATTTATTTAGAGAAATGTAAAAGTTTCTTTCCCACTATTTAAAGTTTGATGTTTTTAGTCTTAAGTCAAATATAGCAGATAAATACTAGCCTTCTCCTGAAGACCCATCTCTACATGTGGCCCTAACAAAGAATTTTATCTGTATAACTTTGGCAGATAGCACACACTGACCCACTACTAGTTTTTTAGTCATATATCTGTTACACTGACATACCAGTCAGCAAATGATACTCTTCAAAAAAACTGATTCACTTTACAAAAATGTGAAACTTGCAGCCTTGGTCCAGTGATAAAAGTATTGCAATAATGACCAGAAGATTTAAATCAATTTCATAATCTAAGCTGATAAAGCTTATAAAAAGAAAAAAAAAAATTGATGTAGAAGGAAATGAGTGAAAGGGGGAGGGGAAACCTGTAGGATGTACATGTCATGAAATCAATGTTAAAAACAAGACCACTATATTTTTTATATATTCTGTAACAGTGAAAGAAGCTGATGCAATCAATCTGAAGAGTTGTGAACAATTCTTCAATGTTAGAAAAAAGAAAAGAAAAAAAAAAAAATGTCCCTTCAGAGCATAAGCAATCATACATTTTTTTCTCCCCATACATTTTTTTTTTATTATTATCATATATAACAGTCAATCTTTGAAAACAGTGGAATGTCTTCCTATTGTCTTTTCTAGGGTTTGGAATTCAATTCAGAGTTTTCCTTCAGTTAGACTGGTTGGCAACCAAAGCAAGAGAGTCCAGTCTACTCTGCTATTTAACCCATAGCTGAGTGGAGAAGTGACAGATTCTTGCCTCTCCTAAGGGTATAATATTGAATCCAATAGACTAACCAAAAAATTGAACCCAGCTCTCCAATTCCATTTTCCACGATACTGTTACACTAACCACACATAGTGATGCTTAATATGTGCTGCAAAAATAAATATCTCAGCTTAATTTAAATGTTCAGTTTAAGTTGATGCTCTCTTAAGTCATTGTTGATACACCAAATACAGATAGGCAAAACTACTCTTCTTAAAATTAAGATTAAATAAATATTGATTTTTTTTAATGATAAAATAATTATTCAACTATAAATTTTTAATTTAAAGTCTTTTTGGATACAGACTATATTTTAAAAATATTTGCTTATCCCATGTTCTCTTGGACTATACAAAATTAATGAAGATATATATAGATATTAACAAAGTCCAAAATGGCAAATATTACCATTTAGACTAAAAGCAAACTATTCAAACCCAAATCAGTTCACAAATAGGCTATAAAAAAACAATTATGGTAATAAAATATTCTATTATGACAGCATATCAGATATTATTTGTTATTAATTAGTTAATGTTAATGATGTAATCTGGCATTATTTCTTATTATTACAAGAATTCAGAAATTGAGGGAATTTTATATGAAGTCAGAACAACCTTCACAACAGCTTAAATTAAATCTACTTGGAAGATTTTTCTGCTTACAAGGGATTCACACAAAATTATTACTGCTTAATTATTGAAACCTGAACAACACCATCGTGAGGAATTGGTTCATCTGAATGATGCATTGAAAGAAAGAAGACCTTTTTAAGAGTAGAGAAAAAGTCAACCAATGACTGTTCCATGGCAATATCCATCCTCATTTTGCAAATACATGTCTGATCTGAAATAGGAAGACATTCCACATAGTGTATCCACCCCACACCCAGATAATTTGTTTTGATTTATGCAAAACCTGCTACTTGGTCTTCAGCTCCAACAAATTAAAGACATTGATAAATTCTTCAGTAAATTCATCAAATCAAAATGGGAATCATCCTTTTATGATAGAATACACAAAATAGTCTAATGTATGATGCTATATATAAGATTTTGCCAAACAAGGTGGAAAACTGTATTGATATCAGAATTATTTAATCTCTAAATTATTTCAACCAAATATATCTTCAAAATCATATCTTAAAAACATAATTGATCTATTTTGATCTGTAGCTTATCACCCTTTTGCAGGTTTATTTAAAGCCAGAAAGTAATTTTAGAGTAAGAATTTTTTTTTGAGAAAATGATTTACTGATACAAGTCTTAATAATTAACACAGTTGGGAGGAGGACAAGTAGATTTATACTTTTCCCAATTTTGTGCAAATATAACAAACCAGACTGGAACAGTACCTGGTATTCTCAAGTGGTCACCCATCTAGGTACTGACCAGGTTCAATGTTGCTTAACTTTGGTGATTGTACGGAAATAGGTGTTTCAAAATGATATGGCTGTAAGCCTTTGAACCCTATTGATTGAAGAGAGAATAGATTGTACTTTGCTTTTATCCACCCCCATTACAAAAAAAAATTCTTCATTTCTATCTACAAGAGAAAATATAGCTGTTCCTATCTCACCATTCTGCATACTTTCTGCAAATTACTGAGAAGTAATTGGTAAACAATTCTAAGATGTTCAAGATCCAATTTTGGATTTTGAAAGAGAAAAATCAGGAAATAAAAATAGTGAGGAAACCAAAATAGAATCAGCAGAGAATTTAGGAACAGAAAGAATCATGTATTTGATAGGAAAATCTAGTTGTGTCCTCCATTTGCCTGATGGGTGGAGGAAGAGGTCAAGGAAAATGATAGAAAGTAATTTTACCATCTGGTCTAGGTTATCCATAGCAGAAGTTTACAAAGAATGGTATGCTGAAGAATTCTATTTACACTATTTACATTATTCAGACTGTTGTCCTCATCTTTGTTGCCATATTCCAAGTGGATAAAAGCGTTGGTTGGATCCAGTGACTTAACCCAAAGAGTTGGGAGTTCAATACCTGACTACAACTGAGGGGGACAAAAACTTGGAGAGTTGAGTTAAAGAGAGATAACTGAATCATCCAGAAGCAGCGTGTGCACATGGAACTAAAACAATCTACTCCGGTTGATGAAATAAAAGGTGCAGTTCGAAATTCCAGTCACCTGAAGAAGACTAGAGTGTAAAATGGCCGAAACATGATGAGGACAACAGTCCAAACAATGTAAATAGTGTAAATAATTACAATACCTCATCTCAGAAATATAGATAGATATTGAAGAATTTCACTGCCATCCCTTTTTTGTTTGTGCATTGAGAATACCAAAAATATCTAAATTATCTAACTTGCTGGGGAAACTTTCATTCCAATGCTCTACCAAAGTTATAACTTTCAAGGTACTTGCTAGATTAACAGCTTTGTGTCGCCCAGAAAATAATTCACATTAATAAACTGAAATAATAAGTTCTTTTTACAATTTCTTGGTATATAGAGATCGCAAATAGCTGTTATATTTGACTAGCCCTTGACAAGGATAACAAGGAGCATAACAAATTTAAAAAAAAAAAAAAAAAAACTTTCATTTTTCTTAAGAATGGATTAAAAATCAATTACAAGACAGAATATATGGTCATCAGCAAGAACAGCCCAAATATGCAAGTTATGAGTTGGAGACATCAAAATCAAGCAAGTATAGAAATTTGACTATTTGGGAAATATTTATGATGATGGCTAGAAAATGTGACACTGAAATCTGAATGAGCAATGAAATACTGACAGATGCTTCCCAAAAGCTGAGCAAAATGCTAAGAAATAGGAAAATTTAATTAGAAATAAAGAAAAAGGTGCTCAAGTGCTAAATAATATCAATCCTCTTATATGGCAATGAATACTTGACAATCTCAGATGAAGAGACAAATTGAGGCAACAGATATTTGCTTGAGCAATGAGCTTTAAGGAAAAACTGAAACTAAAAGGACATTTAAGATCAGAAAGAGATGGTTGAATTTTTAAGACCCAAAAAAGACAGACTTGGAAAATTTAACATTTACAGGACATTGAATGCAAGAGGAGCACAGAGAAACAACCTACCTAACAAGTTTGTGTAAATAGATAGCTGAACAAGGACTGGAATGAACAATAAGTGAGCAAACATTGCTTTTAGCAACAAAGGATAAGAAGTTGTGAGAGCCATGATTATCCACATCTTGAAAGAACACTGCACATAAAAGAAGTCCGCTTGGGCAGGTTAGGTAGTCCTGCAATAGTAACTTGCTAAAGTATTAATTCACTTACTATTCTCAACAATCAGGGTATTCGAGCAATAAGACATTTATTATCAAGTTATCTGGCAGTAGGGCAGAGTGCAATGAGTGGTGGTTTATGCCTTTCCCAATAGCATTCGTGGTTAGTGAACATAAGCAAATTTGGTTTAAAGAGTTTATTTTCATTGCTGATAGCTTCTGTTAACTTTCAATTTCCTAAGTCTTTCACATAAAACTTTTATAAATTACAATTTTCTTGCTTTGGTATTCAGTCTCTCAAAGAAATTGGTTTCCAAATTGCAATTAAAAAATGCATATGTTATTAGCATTTTATTTATATATCACTACTGTAGTTTAAACAAGTCTATTACTACAATGTCACTTGTACAAATCAAGATACCGCTGGTTCAATTCGCTGTTCTTGCTTACTAAAGACTTCACAACGTAAATCCGTTGTTTTCTCTTCTCCTGTTTTCACTGCTTCAGCCCTTTTATCAGACCAACACCGTGGTCGACCAACCAATCAGCGTTCTTCGCTTTTATTCTCAGTTACCCAGGCAAATAGCCTCCTTCAGTTCGACCAATCAGCACATGACTTGCTACTGGTGGAAGCATGCCAAACTGTACAAAAACCCTCGTTACCGCACATACTGCTAGAATTGCTAGATGGGAGAGTAATGCCATTTTTATGGAGCAAAACGTGCCACCATGTTATGGTAAGACCCTTATTTTCCTATGCACCATATGCAAGCCACTCTGGCTTGCTTGCTTCCATGGGGCTGTTCACTACAACTGTATTATTGAAAAATCAGACTTAAGACCATCCTTATAGGTCTTGACAAAGACCACACTTCTTCAAACATTGTGAACTGCTGCTACAAAATCACAAAGAACTGTACGAAATAACAGAAACCACATCAGTTGAGGACTTTCAGGAAGAGCTAAAATAGATATCATAGGTAACTTGAAGAGAAAATAATGGCATAATCAAGATGTTGATATTCTATACTACTTCAAATAAAAAGTTAGGAAGGAAACCCCAATCAACACTGAAAAGAGCAATAGCAGTTACTGGACTTGAGAAACCTATTTTCTTGAAAAAATTGTTTTAAGAGAAAGGTATAAATTTCAACTAACAGTAGTACTATTAATGAATACCAAATATTTCCTTATAAGGAAATGGCTAATATTACCATTATGATGATGAAAATTGAAAACTCACATTCCTACATTTATCCTGTCTCATTTGAGTAGAAATCCAATATCTGCAGCAAGATGTATCAAATGCAGCCTTTTTATTTATCCTAGAAGTTACATTATAATATTACCCAATTATGGTTAAATATTAGATTAGATTACAGGACCCTCTTCCCAGCAAAATTACCAAATCAAGCAATCCTAATTCAGGTAGGTTTGAGTTATTTATTTATTTATTTTTTCTTTTACTAATCTAATACAATGCCTAAGAGTCACTCAAGGTAGAGGGTTAGTGGATGATGTATAAGAAAAGGAAGTAAGAAGTGCAGTTTATAAAGTTATGCAGGAGAGATAACAATTAACCCTTGACTTGAAGAGCTTAAGATTGTAGTGATTTGAAAAACATCCTGTCAGGAGTCTGTTTCACAAAGTTGCAGTTCTTGAAGCTGAGTCTGGAAATTTCTTCTTACTAATGGAATACAAAGGGAATGAGGATATATATATATATATATATAAGAAAAAAGTACCAATTTATATGTAAATTATATATGCTTTACTTTCCCTTCCACAAAATAACTGCTTAAAATATATTCAGAAAATGGATATAGTCTCCTAAGAATTCTCAAGATTTTTACACCTAAATCAAAAGGCAAAAAAGCAGACTACCGTGTCAAAAACAAGCCAAAAATATTCCCTTGCTTGAATTTCTATGTAACCCCCCCCCAAAAAAAACAGGTTATTCTTTAATAAATTCTTTAATAAAAAACAGCACTTGCTATGTTTTTATTTTTAAGTATACCATCTCCTTAACACCCACAAAAAGGCACAGTCAATGATTTCCTTGTGCATTAGTAAGATTATTGCTTACCTGCACAAGTACTTTCATATTGTAGCCACATTTTATAATTAGTTTATATAATCTGAGTTTCATTATTTAAAGAAAAAAAAATCTTTAAACATTTTCAATTTAGGTTTTAATTTTTTTTTTTGTATTCTTAAGTTTATTCATTCTTAGGATAAATAAATCCATGACAAAAGTCATGTTTATTAACCAGAGTTAAAGTTTCTAAAAAAGAAAGTGTTGGTCTTTATATTAAGTATTTCTGTATCTTTCATGATGTAAATAACAGCAACAAAAGTTCTCAGATACGAATAAGGATATGTTTAAAGAAAGAGAATTTAGAAGATAAGTGGAACATATAAAATAAACGTGCAGTGTTATGACCTTGCTACAAAAACTTTACTGCAAGGGCCTAATGATTTATGCAGATGGTAATAAAAACAAGCATTTCCACTGCAGCATATTGAAAGTATTGAGTTTTGAATGAAAGGGGGATAAAATAATAATATATATATATATATATATATATATATATATATATATATATATATATATATGAGATGCACAATCATGTGTATGTGCATAGATGCTGACATAGAATTTTTTTTTTTTTTTTTTTTTTTTAAATATAGTACCAATCAAAAGTGCCACATTCATTTTTTTTGGGGAAAAAAATGTCTATTGTTTACAGTAGTGCATTAGTTAATACATTAGTTTTACCAGTCCACCTCACCACAAAACAATGGTTCTTCTTTTATGTTCACAGTCCCTTCAGGACGTGGTCAATCATGGCTTTCTACAACTTCCTATCTTTTGTAACTCTTAGCAAAGTTTGTCTGTACTAATTCCCTGTTTTGGTACCTATTTACACAAACTTGTTAGATTAATCCCATCTGTCCCTATTGTCTTCAATACATCTTGGGAGTTTCAATTTCTCCAAGTCCTCTTTCCTTATGTATCTCAAACATTTCAGCTGTCTCTTTCTGCTTCTAAGTATTAGTGTCCTTTTTGTTTCCATTTTCCTTAAAATTTCCTCATTGCTCACATTTTCCATCCAGGCTATTCTGAGCATTCTTTTCTAGAACATCTGTTGACTCCAGTATCTTAAAAAAAGCAATGGTTAGGGAGTTAATTCTAAGAATATGAAGTTAGTTTGATCCCCAATAAATGTACTGTACTTGTGGCCTTGAGCTGAACTACTACTAAGCTGAATAAATAGACAGTGATCTTGATTTATACCAAATACTCAGTTGTTGTGAACTTGTGACAAAGTTGGCTTTGTCCAGAAGAACTTACTGTAGTATATGTAACATGACAGTCACAGCAAGCCTCAGATTGCACATTCAATCCTAAGTGGTTCCTTACAAAATCTGCCAATATATGCCTAAACTAAGGATGGCAGAAGTTTTTTTCCCCTTCCATATGTAGCTTGACAGGTATCAAAAAATAGTTGAATAATGAATATACAAGAACCATACTTTATACCATTGACACTTAATAGTAACCAAAATTCCAATATTAACTGGTGGTCATTTTATAATTTCAATTCATGAGCATTCTCACATTATTTTATTTAGTATTTATTAGTAACTTTTTACAAGAATTTTACACAATTTTAGTTGCTTTTTATTGCCACTTCTCAGTCATTCCACAGCTGTTAGTAAAGATTGCAGATCAGAAATGAAGAATAAGTTTCCAATCTGTACCATTTAACAAATGGCCAGAGAGTGATGGTTTGAGGAGTTATAATAAACAAAATCTGAAATTAAGATGAAAGAAATATTCGTAAAAAATAAATAACTGCTTCATTCAACATTCAAAACGATTATGATGGATTGAAGAATTCTATCCACCAAGTGAAATGTCAATGTACTAAGACAAACATTTTGTCTGACTTCAACATACTAAAGAAAAATAGAGATACAAGGTCATACTTTATTTGATGCCAGTAGAACTGGAGATAAGTCCAAATGACATTTCACACTAAATGGTTGAGAGTAAGGGAGTTATTAGGTGGGGGGGGGGTACATAACAATACAGACTACCCTACTCAGTCATCACTTGAGTGCTGAACCACACAACCAAAGCATGACCTTGATACCGTATGATTAATATGTAGCCTGACAAGATTAGATTTGTACGAAACAATACAAGATTAGCATAATTACTAAGTTCAATCCTAGCTAGAAGGGAAAAAAAGCAAAGTGTGAATAGGTATGTCTCAATTCATAAATACTAAAATATTTAATAGAAATAAGCATACAGTGATTTGGCATAAAGTTCTTAATATACACATTTGATTGGGCAAAATGTTTCCTGTTTGACAGTTTTTGAAGCATTTAGTTTTAACAACCCATCATTCAAAAAGATCACTTCATTGTATTGACAGATGTCACGTCACTGTTTTATTTTTGTGTTTCTACAAAAATGCAGCTTTGTGAGAAAATTACTTCTTGCAAATTCTTTTTTTTTTTAATACCATTATCTAGTGAGTATTCCGGATCATATATATATATATATATATATATATATATATATATATATATATAAAAATGTTAACATTCCACACCACCTGAAATAGAATGTTCACAAGGAAAACCCTCATCAATACTAGAAAGTGATAAAAACTACTGGACTTGAGAAAACCACTTTCCAAAAAAGTCTTAAAAGTAAGATTTTATAAAAGAAGACAGTACTGGCGGCTGAGTCAATGAATGCCAAATGGTTACTTGTAGAGTAATGGCTAATATTCAGTCAGTTATGTGCCATGTGTGATACATGCTTAGGCGATCATGTATCTTTTGATACATGACTGATGAGGCAGATTTTTTTTCCTGCATTAGGTTGCCATTTCTTTCTGTGGTAGACCATTTGCCATCCCAGGCTATAGAACCCGGTCTGTCCTGCTATTTACCCATAACTGGGGAAAGAAGAAGAGGATTCATACCTTTACTAAGGGTATTAGCACGTAAGTGAATGTAATGGATTCAATTGGAATTCAAACTCAGCTCTCCCATTCCTCAATCTGAGCCACTATCCATTACTCCATGGGCTAATATTACTATAAATAAAAAATACTTATATCACAGGATAAAGCATATGCCTTCATACCAAATTTTAAATAATTTCAAGTTAAAATTAAAAAATTATTTTATGTAAAGGATATTCTTTCTTTCTTACTTTTTTCCTGTGTTGTGTTAAAATAATGCTTACATACAAAGTTTCAAATAATTTGTTAAATACTCATGAAATATGAATTTAAAATACATTCTTAATTACATTTTTCCTTTATTATTATTTTTATTATTTCCCTCTTATTTTTTGATGGGCATGGTAATTTATATAGCAAACTGAATTTTAATTTTTTTTTTTTTTAAATATTTGAGAGCTTAACTGATAGTGAAATAAAAAGAAACTTAAAAAAATTTATTTCTTGGATAGGAGAATTTCTTTAGAAATGCCATTTTTTAAAAAATTGTCTAATTTAGCAATTTGTATTTGTGCTTGTTTATTCTAAGATGAAAGATGGAGGAAAAACAATAATAATAAACCAAAAATGTATATTTTAAGAAAAGTAAAAATAAAACTCAAACATAAAAAAATATTTGTGCAATTTATAATCATTGTATCAGGAATATATTAAAATTATTTTTAAAAGTTTTACGTTCGTTGATTATGATTGATCTGTTTTCTACAGCTTATCAATCCTATGTAGGTTATCTAAAGCCAGAAAATATTTTTAGATTGTAAGAATTTGTTTTTTGGAGATAAGGATGAATTAGTGATACAAGTTTTACTAATTAACCCATAGCTGGGAGGGGAAGAGATGAATTCATACCTTTCCCAAGGGTATTTGTGCATAACTGAATATAAAAAATCCAACAGGAATTGGAACTTAGCTCTCTGATTAAAAGTTCAGAGGAATTATCCATTACATCACCTGGTTTTCTCAAGTGGTCACCCATCTAGGTACTGACCAGGCTCAACATTGCTTAACTTCAGTGATCGTATGGGAACTGGTGTTTCAACATGATGTGGCCATAATGTTCTTTGGTCAGGAAGCAATAATGGTAATCATAAAATTAGTGTTTACATATACAAAACAGCATTCATTAACTGAAGAGTTAGCATTAGTGTTGGCTGAAATTTTTTTCTTAAAACTGTTTTTCAGTCAATAGTGGCTAATAAAATTTGTGGACCTCTTCATTACATATATTCGCTCCTCATGTTTATAAAAACAAAAAAAATCATTTTTAGATGATGCTTTTTTGGTATAAAACATGAAAAGCTTTAACAAATTTTTAGTGATTTTGTTACTTATCCAATTTATTTCATTAGCAACTTCATGAAGTTTTTTATCCAAAGTTTACATCCTACAGAAATGTATCTAGAATGAAGCACCTGTATTACACTGAAATTCTAAGATTCAAATTCACTAGCAAAGCATCCTAAAAACAAAGTTGATGGAGAAGGAAAAATTTTGATTTGCTACAGCCTTGTGATCCAAGATCATCACAGTTGAAAAAAAAATTAATTATATTTTTTGGTAAAATTGTCAACTTCAAATAACCAAGATAGTAATTATAAATCAAAGAGATCAGATAGAAAACAGAAGATTTTGGGATTGTATCACATTATAATTCAAGATAATGATTGGTATCAGTGAGAAATCAGATACACAGATTTTAGACATTACAAAGTTTTAATTTCTTAGAGAATATTTTTTCAAAATGGCACAACTCTCCTTTTTTTAATTTTTATCTTGTTTTGCACTATTTTCTCTAATTTATACAATATTGAGCAATTTTACACTTATTGTATGTTTGTGCAAATGAAATGTAAAATTATGCATATTAGACAAAATTAGGCAAAACTACAAAAAGCTACATCAAAAATCTATATGTATATAAAAAAGATACATTAAAATCTAAATGGGCTCTGTTCAAGGGCCCCCATCAAATTTAAAAGATCCATTCCAACTAGAGAGGCCAAAATACACTAAATTGTTTCAAATTAGTTCAAAGAAGCCCCATTAAATCTGAAAATAAACAAATCTCTTATACCATTATTTTTTTTAGTTTTATCAAGGGTACAAGATTTGGGGGAATCTCTAGTCTTGGGGCTGCAGTAAATACTAGCCCGTATATAAATCTGGCACTGTTTACAATAATGTAAAAACTAAGAAATCATAGAACAAGTGAAATGAACCACCACTCAAAGGCTGGTTTTGATCCAAAAAAGATGCTATAGAACTGTTAGGATTAGAAGAGTTCTCTATAAGTAAAGCTTCATATGAAGAATATTAGGTCAACTAAAGTCAGCAATTGATGAAAAACATCAGTAATTAAGTGAAACTAATATTCAAAGAAGCTAACTACATATTTCTTTGGTCAACAGGCAATAATTGTTACAACTTGGTTAGGAAGGATCTCTTCATTCATCCATTGAAAATCCCTAAATATGATTTCTTCCAATTACTATTTATTCTGGACTTAGTATAGCCTTGACTGTATGGATATCACCCACTATGGTAATGGTCATTATTTGACCGATGGATTGCAGGCTAAAAAGAATCACTTTACAGAGAATTTGCTTCTCTACATCCATTTTGAGCCAGCTCGGTGGTACTCTTGCCATCCTGTCTGTCAAGGTGTTACATCTCAAAATGGATTCCTTGTGTGTGTATTACTGGCACTCTGATATGCTGACTGGCAAAACTCAGGTACACACAAAGGCAGCAGGTAAGATGCTTCGTCGACCACATAGAATCAGAACTTGGTAGAGAGGAAGACGAGTACCACAGAAATGGTTGAAAATTCAACCATTATCTATCCACCATATCTTCATAATCTTCACTTCATACTGCCTCTTCTTGGTTTCATATCACACACCCCATACAGTAACCTTTTACCTTTAGTTTCTCTTAGGCCTTCTACTAGGTGAACATTTAGTTTAAAACATAATAAACTGGGGGGTAATATAAGCATCATTCTTCAGAGTTCTGTAATTTTCTTTGTTCTTCACTCAACTATGGTTAGCAAAATGTTGCCTTGCTATAGAGTTGTGATTAATTCTATAGTGAGTTCAATCCTCACTGGATGCAGCATATCTGTATCTTAATATCAAGCTAAGCTTACTTAATACCAATCGAATTAAATTCAGATAAGTTTTTTTATTTTTTTTATCTGAAAACAAGCACCCTTTAACACAGCCTTCTTGTTTTGAGTTAAATATTTGTGACTGAATGTACAATCAACAGCTTCCTAGTGAACAAGTTTTTTTTTTTTTTTTGTTTTTTTTTTTCTTATAAGGCAATATCTAACATTTTAATGATTTCAGGGAATAGTAAAATAACTAGTCTTTAAGGACATGACCAGGTAATATATATATATATCAAAAGTATTTCAGATTTTTAGAGCTATGAAAACAATATAAACTAGAATTTTTTTAAAAATCATTTCATTCCAAGCAAGGTATTAAAGCCACCAAGATGCAGAGATTACTGAGTGTGAAAGAATAAGAAAAATGAGAAACATTATTAAGGAATGAGAACAATAAAAGAAGAGGAATCAACAGTAGGTAACAATGTTCCAATTAAATTTTTGAAGATCAAAGTTGGCTGGAAAGCATGAAGCCAGAAGAGAGTTCCACAAGTGAGAAGTGTAAGAGAAGAAACTTAGCATAGAACTTGCAGTTACATCTAGCTAATACTTCTAAATAAGGATTCTTGCCTGCATTCCATTGGGTGTGACTACCAGATAAAACAATGACTTATTTTGTGACTGTTGCAAAATATGTTTTGAGGAAACACCTAACCAATTCCTCCCCCAAGAACTACAGGGCCAAAAAGGGAAAGAAATAGGAGGAAGCAAAAACAACATTACCTGAAAAATCACAGCAAGCAACTAGAACAACAAAATGTCCAAGGGAACAACTTCACAAGTCACAGTTTCACCAATTGCTGGTTTTCCTATTGCTTTTATTGACAGGAGACAGTTGACAGAAACCAGAATCTAAAGAAGTTGCAGAGAGGCTCGTATCTGAACGTGCCAAGCTGTTCTGCTGCTAACAGGGGAAAGGGGACCCCAGATGTAACGGATTTTTGACAGACATGTCTGCACATGACCTGGATGGGGACGTTTTTTTTTTTTATATCTGACGTGTTCACCACAGTGACTAAAATGCATGCAATGGTGATCACCATTCTCCTCTCTTGCTGAAAGACAATTTGCATACAGATTTAATTATTCATAAGAGTATATAGGCTTAACAATATTGTTATTTGAAAACCATGACACTAAATGGTTACAAAAGATTGAAAAAAAAAAAAAAAAAAAAAAAAAAAAAAAAACTGTCACACTTATAACCACTTATACAATTTTCAGTTCTTGACAAAAACTTTAGTAGAACAAAAGAAGAAACAGAACCCATGTGGTCTGTTATTCCATAGCAAGTTTTTAGATATGGTTTCTTTTTAAAAGAGGATGAGTGAACCATATCTTGTATAAAAAGAAATCTAAAAAAAAAAAATAAATAAAATAACAGGAACATAAAAAAAGATGAAATTAAAAACAAAGCACTATAGTCATTAAAAAAGAAAAAAAAAAAAAAGAAAAAACAATTGCAAAAAAGAAAAAAGTATATTCAAGAACCCATTCAATCATGAAAATAAAATTGAATTTAGTGTAAAACAATATCAACAACATTTTATTTTGTTAATAATTGTGTATGTGTGTGAATGCAGGTATATGTATACATGTCCAAACAACAATAAATAAAATTTAATTACAAACCTAACCTCCTATACCCCACCAAATTGAATAAGAAAAAAGAAATGTGGAAGTAAAGGCATTCAAGTTGCGATGCGTAAATTGTCGCCATTTTATATTTTTTGATTCCATGCATAGGCATTGTTTTTGATTTTTGTTGACAGCACAGTATAGTAAGGTATAAAAAAAAAAAAAAAAAAAAAAAATCGGGGCATAGAGAAAGTAACTTACTTAGAAGGAAACTTCTCAAGAGTGCTACCATCAAATATTATTAAAATAACAAATCTATACCCTGTTCCCCACCCCATCTCACCTTTCCTGAAGGAATTACTATTTTCCCAAGCCAGAAAAAATTTTTTTCTTTTATCTTTTTTGAATAAACTAAGTGACATAATCTAAGGTCTAAATGCCCAGACATTTCAGTTAACCTGATGAATATTTATCATCACATTTGCCTTGATAAATTCTGTCAGATGATGAAACATGTCAGCTAAAACTAAATATAGATTTCCTCATCATTTCCTCTGTGTGTGTGTGTGTGTGTGTGTGTGTGTATATTTGAGGAAGGTTCCCAACGGTTTTAATGTAAATTGGTCAGTTGAATACTTCAAATATTCATATAAAAAAAATAAAGTGACATTAAAAAATCTGTTAACCAAACATGACAGGTCCTCCAATGTAACAGGTTGACATGTGAAATTTAAAAAAAAAAAGAAAAAAAAAAAAAAAGAATAATTTCCATATACCCCACACATACAAAAAAAACACACACAAAAAAGACATTTAGGCAGCAAGAATTCATTCAAACAAGTTTTTCAACAATTTGATAAGGTCAGTTTAATTTTTTTTTTTATTTTATTTTTTTTTTTATTGTATTTGTCTAATTTTCAAAACTGGAAAAAATATAATAAAAAATTTAAATGGAGAGATGAATTGAATGATTGAATTTAACAAAACTTGTCTGGGTGGGTGGGTATATATATATATATATATATACACACACACACACAGAAATAAGAAACTACTGAAAACTGCACACATAGCATATTGTCAGTTGTGGCCAGTCTGAATTAATTTTTATATATATATATATATATATATATATATATACACACACACACACACACACACTTTTAATGATCCTATGCCAACACTACTGAATTAAAACTTACTAAACCTTGAAATGTTAAGTTGTGTAACAACGTTTCTCACTCTCTCTTAGTGGCAAGCTAAAAGCAGTCAGCGAATATCCGTGGAGTCTAAAAGAATTGAC